CCGTACTGTTTGAATAATCTTGTTATCATCTCGGAGATTATCTTTACATAAGGTGGAACCATTCGCTTTGTCGTCGTCTGAGCAGGCTGGGTGGTCGCAGCTTTGTTGTTTAGACATCACCGAACAAAGCTATGTGGATATCCATTTAGGTGAAATGATCTGAACAGGTATAGCTTTTCTTTCCGCTTCGCCTCAAGAGTGCTGCAATGTGTTTCAATTCTATGAAAGATAGTCCGCTAGCAGCTTATTTTGTCCATTTCGGGTGATTGTTGTGGTAGCTAACAATGTGTTCTGTGTGTGTTCCTTTCCTGTAAACCGATGTTTGCAACTCTCCTTCAATCGTCCTGGTGACTAACACAACCAAAAATGGGAGTTGGTCTTCTATCTCCGATTCCATCGTAAAATGGATGTCTTCGATGGTGTTATTGAGCAACTCCAGGAACGGAACCAGAGCACAAAGGAAGATCCTGTCCGAATGATGGCCCGTGCAATTCTAATGAATTGTACTCCATCGACATCGAGCGCATTGTGCTGTAGAACATGCGGTCGCGAGGGCCTTAGTCAGGCAGGCCTAGTGAGCCATGAGAGAGGTTACTCGGGACCACTGCCGAAGCGACGACGGGTCCTGCAGTGAACGTAGGCAGCACCGGCGCAGCGTTTGTAGGCACGCTGAATTCGATTTACTAACCGCGTGCTTGCATGCTAAGTCTCTTTATTTCAGGTGGTAAGTTTAAAGTTTTTACCTTACTGCTTTTCTTTCTCATATAAATATCTCCCTGTACTCTATTCCATTAACTTGCACGCATCGCTTCAGCCAATTGTATTCGATTTCCATAACATTTTTGTGTTCGTGGCATACCGTGAACTATACTTCCTGACCTCGTGCACTTAGCTAGGATTTGTTTGTAAACAACTTATTACGTATGCTATTTAATTAAGGTGTATGTCACCGTTTCCTTATGCATTAATCGAGTTTTTCTCTTTTTCTTTCTTTCTCTGTCTCTCTCTCAAGTGATTGGCTGTTGTTTGATATCCCCGGTGTGGCTGCGCTTGATGTGCATGTTGACAAGGTGCCTACCTGTCTATTACCCATTACCCCGTCCACACTAACTCCAGGAGACAGTTGGTCCTTGCTGGATGGGATGGGGTGCACGGTCCTTGTGGCCATGCTAAGCTGAAAGAGGAGTTCCATGCACTCAGTGTGGAACGGACTACGGTCCAGCCATCGTCTTGTGTGCGCTTGACTTCCAAATAGAGCGTGCTTGTGTTTGTCTGTGAAGGAGTGTGGGCCGGCTGCGTTGATGAAACGTGGCTCCCATCCGCATGCCTCCCGGTCTTATTCCTTCGGGTTTACACTGCATATGGGGTGTGTGGTTGGAGTTGTGGGTGGTGCAGCGCAAGCCACCGATGGTCCCTCTGTAGGCGCAAACGTCCTGTGGTTGGCCACAGTGACAGACAAATACGAAACCGGGTGCCGCCACCGAGAGCTTGCCCAAGTTACTTATCGGGGAACGCCTTCCTTGTAAAGGTGACTGTAAACAAATCTCGGCCGTACGCAGGCGAGATGAATAAGCAGTCGCGGACGATCAGCGGCAGCCTTCTAGAGCGTGGGAGGTTCTGGGCTGGTCATCTGGTTCCTCAATAAATACCACAAGAACTAGGAAGACGCTGTGTTAAAGGCAATGTAATTGGCTATAGAGTCAATGACCACTCAATTCTGGTCACAGAAGTGGTGTATAGACGCATCACCATCGGAGGCTGAGGTTACTCACGAGCTTCGACTCTTAGGCCGCTACAAATCCCCTGACCCAGATGAATTTTCTCCGGCTTTTTTCAAAGACGACGGCCCATCACTTTTCCAGGAGTTAACTTCTCCCCTCCAAAAGATCTGAGTCACTGAAGTTATCCCATCTGTTTGGAGTCTAGTGAACATGCTGCCCGTCTTCTAAAAGGGTACCCGAACTGACCGTGCCAATCACAGAGGGATTAGTCTCATCTGTGTTTGTTCCAAGGTGTTCGCAGCTATGCTTCTAAGGAGGCTGAGGTTGGTACACGAACAGAGCATACGTGAGGAGCAAGCTGGGTTCCACTCAGGTAGGAGCTGCGTCTACCACATCTTTACATTCCTCCAAATACCTCAGTGTCGTCAAACATTTGGCCAGGCAACGATGGTGGTTTTCCTAGACATGCAAGCCGCGTGTAACTCAGTGGACAGCTATTCTGTGGAGTTGTCTACTGTGAAGGAGGGCGCCCGAGAACTATGTCATCTTACTTCAAGCCATCTACTTTCAAACTCGAGCAAAGTGTGGGTGTGCGGCGGACTTTCGTCCGCTTTTGCTATCATCATTGGCGTGAGACAGGGTTGCTCAGCATCCCCTTCTTGTTCAATTTCACTATAGATGACATCTTGGAGACTGCTGGGGAGAACATCGAACCCAGCGGCGTCGAGCGTTTTCCGGGGGACCGACTTCGGTATTTGGAGTATGCAGACGACATCACCGTAATCTGCGCCTCCTTAGAGGCTGCCCAAAATGTTCTGGAGATGTCTGTCTCCAAGTTTGAAATGACCTTCGCACCATCGAAAGGCAAGATTTTCGTGCAAGACTGGCAACGCGTTGCTTCTAACCTTACTCTTTTAGGTCTTTCATTGGAAGTGGTGGACAAGTTGTTTTCTCTCGGAAGCTGCTTCAGCGCTAACGGTTTAACGGATGAGGTCTCTTTGCGAATCTCCAAGGATCGGATTGCTTCGGCCAATCTTCGCCATCTCCGTCGCCGAGGTGATCTGATTCTAGCTCTGATCGACCGATTTTACAATCCCACAGTGAGAGCGGTTCTGGGCTATGGCTGCGAGAGTTGGACTGCTCGCTCAACGGACGTTGAGAGGCTGTCTTTTTCTCATCACCGCTGCCTTCGGAGCATTGTTTGTGTACCATAGCAACATCACAGTAGTAAGGAAGATACTTGACGGATGCTTTTCAGACCAGACGGAATTTGCGGCCACTAAGCAGCATAATTTCTCCGCACAAGCTTTATTGGCCTGGGCATGTTCTTCGTATGCCTACTCGCCGAGCCCTCTTCGCGCGGGCAGAAATCGGCTGGAAGCGAAAGCAAGGTGGCCAACGCATAACTTGTTACAAGAGCATGAAGGCGTTAAAGTCAAAGTTAGTCGTGGCCGAGCGCTCTCGACTTCCTGGCTGGGGTGTGAAGGATCAGAAACACACATGGCTGGAAACACTTTCAGATGATATGAGAATCCGCGCAATGGCGGACCTGTTTTGACTCTCTATTACTATGAGCCCTGGTTAACATTTTCCCTCTCTCTACATTTGTTTATTGTGTTTCCCATATGTTGCGGCACTATGCCAATTGTACTTTTGGCCGTATATATATATACATATATATACATATATATATGTATATATGCTCCTAGTATTAACAAGCCACCTCACAAAGTGTTCGCTTCAAACTTTCTAGCGTTTGCGGAGCACCTACATGGTTGCTAGGCAATTGGTATAGTAGGTGAACACGTAGCATTGCAAGGCAACCTCGACGGCGCTTACAAGTGGTTAACTGTGAGAATGCTGTAGTTTAACGGTGCCAGAGATAGAGTATTGCGCACATGTAACCGGAGAATGGACTAATATCGGCAGGGGAGGAAATTTTAGCAGCACGTTTCCAATGATTGGGATATCATGGTGTCACTATAGTACGATCGAGGTTGCTCAAGTTAACTCGAAAGGTGGCGAGGAAATTAGGCAGCACCTATAGTTTGTGCAGGAAGCGTTTGGACGGTACAACCCACCCACATCTTCGCTAAATCCAGACACCTACTTGAGGACACCTGTGAAATATTTCATTTGGGGCTAACGTCTGTAGTAAAAGCATCGACGAGCCGCGCTGGAGTCCAGAACAACGAGTGACAGGAAATTTTAGGGGTTGCTCAATCTGCATTAACGACTTAGACTGTAGGTGCAAGGAAATTCCAGTGGACAAGATTGTTGATTTTGGGATGATGGCACACCGGTGCATCATGCCGTCAGGATCCGGATCACAGATTCTGACACTTTGAAACTCAACCACAACGACACATTGTGGTTGTCTACACGGTATAGCTAGCTAGCTATACTGATGTAGTGAAAGTCTGTCCATAATTCCGTCATCTCTACTCCCACGGTAATAGAATTCGTAACTCCACTTGATGAAACATCTGTCCGCTTAGAGTACATGACATAATCCGTTATCGGGGAACACGGCACAACCTAATCAAATGGTTTGCGTATGTGAATTTACACTCCATCAATATGGATTATTTTTAACCGAAATATCTACCTTATGTTTCAATATTTCCCACAGGTGACTTCTTAAGCGGTCAATTTTCTTCCACAGTAAATATTTTCTTCCATTGTTGCTTCCGTCTGTTTTAATATGGGAGAGTCCTTAGGCAATTTGTTTACGGCGGGAGTAGGTGTATCCACGAGATGTTAGAGTGTGATCTCATAATAAAGACATTATAAAGTGCCAGCGTCGGCATGCAATGTTCTCGCAAAACTCGATGTGCTAAACACACGAAACACTAAGGGTTACCAGAGAAAAACGATTGTAAAAATGGCTAACTGCATGTGGAAAGGTATGTAAGGCCCGGTTGGTCTCAACTGAGTTGACAAAGTTATATGTGCCGGAGCAGAGGCGAAATCTCAAACTGTGGAATGTCTCGAATAACCTAAACATAGCTGTAACCAAACCATCTACGAACCCCTATAAAGTCCCCATATAGCTGTGTTGTCCCTAAATCATTGTGTATCATGTGAGTTGGAAGGCGTAGAAAAATTCAACAAGCAACCATTATACTTGATGGACTTATGATGTGTATGCAAGAATCAAATCTGTTTAACAAATCACAAATCATAGTTAAGATTCTTCATATAAGATTTCCGAAAAATACAAATTTCTGTAATTTGGCATAGCGATCTTCATGTTTCAATAATATGTGTTTCAATCTGTCAACCGCGAGTGTTCCAGCGGCGCCTCACATACGGCTGAGGAACATCATTGCGGTGAGAGTACGCTTCCGCAACAATCACTCCAGATCTGAAAATTTGTAACATGATGAGTAGAGTGTTTTTACATGTAAAAAAGACGTTTGAGTAGCTCCTAACATTGAAATAGATAATTAAAGTGAGTCGAAGACAAAGAAAAGGAAAATCTTGCAGCATCAACGACATTCCAATGGCCCAAAGTTCCGTCTCGCAGCATAAACAAGGACGCTGTCGGTAAAGGAATTCCACTACTCCCGGGCATGGATACTTTGCGCAGCAAACTTTCTGAGCCTCAACGTCGTCGTAACCTGAGGCTGAACCTTCCTCTGGATTAAGGGTTTCCTTTGAACTTATTCGTCTACCGTATGATGTACCTTCTCTCCATCTAGTGACTTCAGCGTTTTGCAGATGGGTAGGATGGCTAACATCATGTACGGATTTCTTAGAAACTGTTGATTGTCTCGCTGTGAATGACTTCATTGAACCCCGACTGGAAGATGCAACGATTAACGTTTGATTCACACGGGGTGTACGTAAAGCAGTTTTGTTAAAACAAAACTGCAGCAAGCTGGCCTGCCATAAACATAGAATGACCGCACGCAGGAAATCATTTTGACGAACTTCTTCTTCACTGAAGGCTTCGAACAGTTCTAAAATGTCTGCAGCTGTGCCAATGTTGATGAGCAAGAGTTGTGACAGTTGATCGCGGCTTAGTCCTTCACGTGGCATTAACCAGCGTCCAACTATCACAGAGAGAAGAAGTAGCTGCTCAAGTATTCGGATCCTTTGGGTGAGAGAAAAGTTTTGAAGCTGAAGAGCCTGTTGAAAGTGCAAGAAACATGCACGAATAATGTGGGGGGTCATTGAAGTAGCAATGTGTATCTGAATCTATTCTCTATTGATTGCAACAGCTTATCCTTGGGGAATATTAAAGAATTGTCAAATCAATTGGTTTGTGCATCAAATACTGCCATTTAGTTCGGTTTTTCTTATTTGTTTTCCCAAATCATATCTGATCGAACTAAATAAATCAGGTTTGAAATGCCATTAAGCTAGTTGTCATGCCATGAAAGTTATCGATAAACAAATAGGTGATTCACTAAAAGCTAGTACAATGCGTGGGAGCTGCGTCTAGAATGCTCGGCGTGAACTATGCTTACCTGTTTGATTAAAACATCGTCAACGTGATGGCGCATGTTCCACTGTCTATACATATTCACTTGTAGCGGTCTCGACAGCTACACCGGGCTCACTAACCAGAGTTTAAGTGTCAGGATCGGTGAACGCATCCCCAAGTAGTTACGCAGACGGATAGGATCCATGACGAAGGGATCGGTTGACTCGGACGACCGAGTTGCCTTGACCGTCACCGCGCTACCACGGGGGCCCCACGTGGTTATGCTACTGGAAGCTGTCGTTATCGATCGGAAAAGACCCAAGGCTGAGTATCCAACATTCAGCTGACCGTGGCTCAAAGTGTAAACTGGTTGTGCAAGCGCTTCTTCAGCTCATATGACATGGTTTCGCTTTGTCTATATATGTTGCATGTTTGTGACTGATAAGAATAAACGGAATGGCAATGTCATCTCACAAAATACGTCTTCTGATCTTCCTGTACCTGCCTAAGTACTTCAACCTGGAAATGTAATTAATTTATCTGTCGCTTGTTACAGAATATATATGTTACCTGGCTGTCTTGTACGCATAGTGCTCACTACTGTTTTAGGGAAACGAAAATAACAATTTGTGAGCAACTTATGCTTAGAGTTTGGTTTCCAGAAGCAGTCTATTGACAATGAGTGTAACCACTGACTTTTTAAGACAGTGAATCTTCCGTAAAACAAACATCTACTGTCAATTAGGATTTGGAAAATTTTACCGATAATGTATATCCAATAAGAAGTCATGTTCTAACATCAACTTCGAAACATTTGTGAGTAGCCAAACATGACGGCCTAGCTAGACTAGTCCACAATCAAAGCGACCATAGCAACTAAGTCAATTCGTCCTTAGAGTTAGCTAAACTGATGAACCAACGAATGAGTGAATGTACTTTAAGGTTTATAATGGAAAGTGCAAAGGGTTTACAGAGCTTTCAGTAACAGTTGTCGTTGGTTACATGCTCTTATGCCATAGCCGTTTCTGTCACATGAAGGGACGGTGAAAACAAAGTAACTAATGCTTGTGTCATGTAGTTGGCGCCTTTGCGAAGCATTCTGTTTCATCTATAAATCGCATTTCCGTGCCGCATAATTCCAGAGTTTCACTAATATTTCGCCTAGATTTATTCACATTACTAGCTAGAAAGCCGTAAACATACGCTCAACTTCGGAATAAAAATCGTCGAAACAGCACAAACAACAACAGAAAACTTGTTTTCTTGCCCCCGTAAGGAGATACGGAATTCCAAAGGCGTCATGTTTACCTTCGGGATGCGCATGACAGACTCGCAGCTGTCTCGATAGTGGGTACATTGAAGGGAGTGAAACCTCGTAGATGTTCTAAACAGTTTACTGGTTACACCAACCTCTGCTGCATCGGTTGCGTGATTATATTCCTAGATGCTATTGAGTAGATTATGCTAGTCTCTGGTGAATTATCTCATACGTTTTACAGATAGTCCCCGTACAACACCCGTAAACTTCCACTTTTTCATGTTATTTTTTGAAACTTTCACACCGGGGTTGATAAGTTGATGCAGTAAGAATACCTACCTAAGACTGTGCCTTCAAGGATCTGGATAAATTACAAATAGTCTGTGTATGTTTATGCAAACACCTGCTTTCGAAAGAATCCCATTTTCAGAAGAAGAAAATGGACGAGAACCAGTCCTATTGACTACAAAAGAATCCATTCTGTGGGTCTGAAGAGGCTAGCGTTCCATTCACGTATCGGTGATAGAGGACATAGGTAAAAATACTTCGTTTACTTCATCACAGATGATGTCAGTTTTTAAGTTGGCAGTCCCTCATGAAAGAATTCTGTCGAATTGTGCACATACTGGTTTTGAAATTATCTCCGGGCCCTTAATATCCAGTTGGCTTGCTGCTGGGAATACAGATTTAATAAAAACATTATTGACAACATTTTTACATTCAACAGTTGAAGACCTTTCGAGCGTCGAAATCGTAAAACATTTGGTAATAATCGGAGTACTTAAGATTCTTTACGGTCGCAGGTCTTTAAATTCGACAGGGTAAACTGATTCTCAAGACCAATATTCTTGGCTTTTAGAGCTACTAATAAATTTGCTCGGATTTCGTAAACCGGTTTGACTTGAGTATTGGGAACAGGACTTCCAGCCATATTCTGCACCTAAAATTGGCTAGTTGTAGACATGCATGCATTAATTGGGTATGCGCTCTTTCTCATTTAATGACTGTCTAGTAATCTGTAAAATTTAGTCCACTGAGTCGGTTCAACTTTAAGCAATAAATGGTTCGCACATCTCAGCTATTGAATGCATTAATCGAGGAGAGACATGAGTCAATACTTCGAATTGTCATTCGGAAGCGGAGATGTAGGGAGGCGGCAGTGTCTGTACAGATTCATCGGTGCCATTCATACAGCTTTCTGCGAGACATACATGAAGAAATTTTCGTTTTGAAACTACGGGTGCTGTACACATGCCAGCATGACATTTAGCCAGACATTGCTAAGTAAGACGAATATTCATTGAGTTCGTTGACAATACTTCTCACAATGTTACCGCGGTTGTAACGACGGTAGAGGAATTGATTAGCAGATAGTTGTTACCAACGAAAATAACGCAACTGTCTGGCTAGTAGTGTTTTTGCTCCTTTCAAAATGGCCAATGCATGGTATGTTTCGTTACGCTGGCTAGGAAGCTGCTGCACCCAACAGGACACAACACAAACGTTGTTTATTCCACGAAAATTTGAGTATGTGATCTGGTTATGGAATTACATCAACACAAACCAGAAGTGACAGTGCTTGAATCTTGATTCGCCTGCATGAAGAATGCACCTCCTTTTGGCAAAAAACGGGATTACTTGATCTGTGCGATCTTACCTATAGCAAAATAAATAAGTTTGAGAAGAATTATCTAAACAAACCATCCTTTGTGTAAGCAAACATAGGTTTCCGGTAATAGCTCATCGGGCTTTTTACAATTATATGAAAATCTAAATGTGTACAGACCCAACGGGTCTGCAGTCCTTCAAATTGATTCTAGTGCAGTATGGCAAAACTTAACATTGTAAAAGATCCAGAGAAAAATAGGGTAGCTTTTAAAATTAAATCTCCGTGAAAATTGTTTACGAAATAGTGGTCTCCATATAATGGGCCATCAGAAGGTGGTTAACAACCGGATCAAATTAAAAAAAAACTTTGGATATTACTTACCTCTTAGGTGTTATGTTCTTGGAACCAAAAAATCTGGCAACTAGTCGAAATTATAAGGTAATCATGCAGACGTTGAGCGAATTGCGGGCACTCATAAATAGAGAAATATTTGAATGCATCAGTGGGTGATACCAGGACTACTTTTTTAAGTTCCATAGTTTAATACCAAGGTTTGATTGTTAACTCATTGGCATAATTCGTATCTTCACGGCGCCAATCAGTTCCACTACAACAGCTACTCTCCAAAGGAGCTATATGGTTCCTTTGATAAACGCTGCTACTATAGAAACTGGATTTCAGTATCCTGTCGACCCAAGCTAGTTGCACGCGAGTAAGCGTTGTCCTTTCTATCTTTTTATTTTTCTCGCCTATGATGTGAACAATAACCACTGCCCTGTTGCTTTGTGTGTGTACATTCGCAATTCAAACTCCCTTTATACAACAGTGCAGTTACATCTGTAATCGCCCGAACTGAAGACTCCATTATCTCTTCGCTATGTTTTTTTGTCATGCTAAACACCCTACGGGACATGTCCAACACCTGCTATTTACCCTTTATAAATCATTGTTCATTGTTCATACTGTAGTTGGGAGAGAATGGAAGTGTTATGGTACAGTTATTAGCGCATTATGGAAGATGCCACGGTCGACCACAAACCAACGTCACGCTTCAGTGACTGTAGGCTCTACAGACTTGGCTCAGAATTCCGAAGAATTCAAGCAGAATCTATGCCTTGGATGAGCCAAAATAGGATAACCGGCCCCAAATACAATCCCGATTGTGTTTAAACGTGGCACCCAATTCAGAAGTTCAAGTCCCATTAGTAGTCTCAGCTAGTGGTAATTTATTTAAATTAGCTGATAGTACTTTGGTTGCTTGCATTAATTGTTTAAAGAAGTTTACTCCGAATTTTGGTCAGACGCGGAGAAAGCGAAACATAGCTCATCAATCAGCCCCGAAATGGTGTTATAGACAACAGTTTCACCTTGCGATTTCGTGGACTGGACAGCTTACGAAATGAGAATCATGTAAACATGTGAGTTTCAACTAAACATGTTCAGTCAACGCAGTGATGCAGCACGCAAAATGATAGATGTCTGTTGGCATATATGCACTCGGGAAACTTAATTTTTACCTTCCACCTACTCTTATGGTACAGAATAGAATCCGATGAACAAACACTTCGCATTGTAAATCAGTTTTTATAAACCATAGAAAAAGGTGAACGGCAAAAGAAACAGAAGACAGACTCAGCATCTTTTCTAAAAATAAATGATAGGTCTTCAACAATGAAATTTGGGAAATGTTGAGCCGGTTTGCAGACGTCATATATAAAAAGTGGGTCGTCCAGTAGACATATTCAAACCATAACTTACGTTATAAATTTGCTTATTTGCTGCTAATACTTGAATGGTGGGAAGCCAGCTTGCTACTGTGTTCTGTGTATTAGTTG